GTCCAATAGTTTTTTGCACAAAAAATAGACCGCAGCAGACTTTTTTCATAACTCTCTTTGATTGAAACAACTCAAAATACATCTCTTTTGACTCTCGACTTTTTTCGTATCGGGCTTCGTTCCAGAGGAAAAAAAAACTGAAAGCAAACCCATGCTTGTCTCTGAGCCCGTAGAAAGAAGAACAGTAATGATGGATAATAGGTCGAGAATACTTTTAAGTAAGGTTTCATTTCTTGAGTTACAGTATGAATCTAAAGTGAATATGGTTGGCTCTCTTATCACTATCGGTTTAGGCATTTTTCAGAAATTATTGAAATACCTATCGATTTTTCTGAAAAACTTCAACACCTTTTACCTCAAAAACGATTCATTCTTGAACATAATATATGATTATCTGAACTTCTCTCTTATTTTAACCCAAAAAATATGAGCTCGAAGCTTCGCGCAAAATTGATGAAACACCCTGTATTAATATGGTTTTATAGGTGTGGGTATGCAAAATGAAATCCAATACCTATCTCCTCTTCCTATCCTTCCTAGGTAAACACGATGTTCTCTGAACATTTTATAGGGATTCCTTGTTGCGTGACCCAAGAGAACAAAATGAAATATTATCTACTATATAGGAAAACCACAAATATAATACTTCGGTAATATTCGTCCTAAAGGAACCAGAGTATATTCTCGCAATGAATGGCAATATTAACTCGTGGTAGAATCTACTATTAGTTTGTGTTGCATGAATATAGCTCCTCTTTTCTACTCTTGTTTCCTCCTCCTTGTATGTACGCCTACTTCATCATAATCAGCATCCTCATTGAATACCTACCTACACTATACATAATAACATTTTCCACTTGATCGTGTGTAAATATAAAAAACAGGTCACACTCATTCGTAGGCAACAACTCATTATCAACGAAGTAACTAACTGAATATATCCCATTCTAGGATATACAACATTATCAAATACAGGGTGTCCGTTTTTCGAGCTCCACCATTGGGATCTCAGTTATTATAAGGGATAAGAGGTTGGTTAAATTAGGACAAAGTTGCGCTTTTACATTCTGAACATTTATTTGCAAGTAAATTTGATGTGTCATGTACAGTGTATCCAGTTTTCGATGCTTTCGCATGATATCTCAGTTATCTTTGGAGATAGAACCTTACAGTTTTCACTTTTTTGTGAAACTCAAGATGGCCTAATCAGATTTTGCAGGACTGTTTCCGTTCATTCCTTCGAAATGAAATATGATGTATAAATATAACATCTTCAAAAATGTTAAAAAATCACTAAAATATAGAATTTTAATAGTGGGCTATGGGTTTTTCGAGGGATTTTCATGTAAAGAAATTTACAATTGAAGGAATATTTCCTTCGATTGTTCCATGAAGGGAGAAATAACAATTTCAAGTTCATAATGTAGAATAAGCACCTGATTGAATATTTACTAAAACAATTGAATTTCTAAATTATTCAGTGATTTATTCATTGAATTGTTCAAATTGATGTCCATTTTTCATCACAAACTTTCTCAATACATATTAATCATTGAAAGATGTCTTTGTAATCCCTGGAAAACTGCCTCTGTTGTTGCACAAAGTTCTTCAAGTATGTTGGGCCACTCACTGTATTAAGAAGTATTGAGAAAGTTTGTCAACTGTATGTTGGGAAAAATGGATATCAATTTGAACATGTCAATGAATAAGTTACTGAATAATTCCGGAATTCAATTATTGCAGTAAATATTTAATCATCATTATGAACTTTTTATTACTATTTATTTGTTGCTATAAGGTGCTCAAGTTTAGTGTTTTGTTAATTAATAAGTGTTGATATTGGTTTTGACCTCTCCATGGAAAAATTTAAAGAAATATTTCTTCAATTGGAACGTTTTTCATAAGAAAAATCCATAACCAATTATCAAAATTCAATATTTTAGTGATTTTGAGCAATTTTGAAAATTTTATATTCATTCGTCATATATCATTTTGGAGACAAAAAAATAAGGAATTCAATGAGCTTATGAAATACAGGGTGTTCCATTTAAAAAAAAATAAGTTTGAGTCGTATCTCCAAAACCATACCCCGAAAACAAAATTTAAGTGCGCCACTGGATTATGCGTGAAATTCTCTATGCGATAAGATTTTGATTTGATATTTTTGTTGAGAAACTTCGTGGATATAGAGGGGGTCCAAAAAGTATAAATTTTCAAAATCGCCCTGTATCTCATAAACGGAAACAGTCTTGCAAAATCTGATTAGGCCATCTTGAGTTTCACAAAAAAGTGGCAAAGGACCGCGAAAACCGCAAGGTTCTATCTCCAAAGATAACTGAGATATCAGGCAAAAGCATCGAAAACTGGACACACTGTACAGTTCTTGAATTATTGGATGAAAACGAAACTTTATAATTTTCGTTTTCAGTTTTTTTCAATGGAAACTAAAAAAACTAGACGTTTCTGACTGGGACATTCTTGAGGCACTTTTTTACAAAGAATCTGAATTGGTCATTGTATTTCCCATAATGTACTTGATGCCAAAGTTACAACACACAACTTCGTTTTTTCTCATTGTAATTACAATGATGTATCATACGATATGATCGAATCTTTCCTGTCGATCAAAATTGGGAAAAAACCATTTTTGCGAAGAGTGCTTTGGAAAGAACGCCAACAGTTTTGTTTAACAAGATGAATTTTGACAGTTTACTCGAATTTGGATCTGCAACGTTCACATTTTCGTCAAGCTCATCTACTTAAAAGCTATGGTTTTGAATTATGAACGACGTAATGAGCTAGAAGTTTATTTTTTGCCAAACCAAACAAAACAAAGTTATAAAAGATGCTCTAATACTCCACCTTCCAGTTCTAAACCCAATTCCACGCGTTTCCTCAGATTCTGATTTGTTCGCGAGATGTCCCTTCTTCTTATCTTAGTCCTGAAAGTGGTGATCATCAAATCAAATCTTTCATAGTTCCCAATAAATAATTATCCAGCGGAGAGAGAGAGAGGTATGTCTCCGTTGTTGGAAATTAACTTGTCAGGGGGAACATATCTGACAGACACTCGGCAACCCTTCTTGCGTTATGTGGATAAGCTCAAGAATTCATTAGTTCTGTTCGCATATTCAGTTGAGCTGTCAAAATTTGTTGAACAAAACTGTTGGCGTTTCTTCCAAAGCACTCTTCGCAATAATGGTTTTTTCCCAATTACGATCAACAGGAAAGATTCAATCATATCGTGTGATAGGTACATCATTGTGATCAGAAGAAAAAAATTCTTCGAAAAAGCAAAAATCCAATATGGCGACCATAAGAAAAAAAATCATGTTGAGTGTGGTAATGTTAGCATCAAGAACGTCATGGAAAATACGATGACAGATTCAGATTCCTTGTGAAAAAGTGCCTTAGGAATGTCTAGGTCTTTTGGTTTTCGCTTGAAAAAATGAGAACGAAAAGAAAAATTCTCGTTTTCTTCAAATAATTCGAAAATTTTGCCCTAATTTAACCGACCTCGTATCTCATATAATAACTGAGATCCCCATGGTGGAGCTAGAAAAACGGGCACCCTGTATATTATAATGATTTATGTTATACACGGATGTTTCTGGCGTAGATTTTCCTGGATAATTGAAATTCCTTGACTATTTTCGCATATTTCCCTGGAAGATTTCAAATTTTCACATCAGAATCATCCTGTTATGAGGATCATGATTTTTCACAATGAATTCCTGTTTTGAATAACGGGTGAGTCATTTGAGACTATCTACTCTTCATAAGTTGGGGAGAATATGATTATCTCATGGAAAATCACATTTCAATCGTTGCATCAAAATGAACTTGATCTGTACAATGAAACTAATCTATTATCTATGACTACTGTACGCCCGAAGAAAATTGGACAAACGACCCAGATGTTAATAAAATCAGGTTTTGACTCGACTTTTTTATTTTCCTTTGTCTGGATATATAGACTATCAAGGAAGAAAGTCACATTTCAATGGAACTATAATATGTCTTTCTTCGTTGAATTCAGAATTTGTCTATTTGTTTTCTATTCCGATGATCCAGAAACAGAGGTTAAATTCAACAAAGTAGAAAATATACCAGGCATCCCAGTGTATCAATTCGAAGAAGAAGAAAATTTCATGATCCAAAATCCAGATTTTTTTCTGTTGAGCAAGACGAATGATGTATGACAATCTGAACTTTCCTGTACTGTCCTGATATGTACGGTTATGTCCGAATAACCTTTATTTCATAAATGTCTCAAGGTTATCATTTGGTTCATAGATTAAACACACCATCTATGTTTGGTTGTAAGGTATTACGGGGGAAAAAATATATTTTCTACATGAAAAAGGAGCCTACTTGCAGCTTGATAGCTCAGTGGGCTGTCCATCTGACTATTTTTCATTTTTTTTTATTTTTTCCCTCGAGTAATTTCTCGAGAGAATATACTTTTCAGGAAAAAGGTGCATTCAGGCCGAGAGGTCAAACGTAGTCTTCTTTTTCATGCAGAAACGATATTTTTCTTACTCATAACATCTTATTATAACCTTCCGATAACCTTGAGATTTTTCGCATTACGGCAGCAAGCAACTCATTGAATGACTGGCAAGAGACGTTTGTTCGATTTCCACTTAGAAAAATGAATACTCATGATTGCAATATTTCTAATTCGAAATTTCAAGTGAATACAAAGTCTACGTCATTTTTTCTTTCTTCAATTTGTACTGGAACATGATTGAAAATGGCTGCGTTCCAAATAAGACAGCCTGGTATTTCCAGGCACCACTGGCTTGACCTTAGCGGGGTATGTCATCCATTTTCTACGGGCACTTTGTGAGAATGTATATGTACATAGCTGTAAGTGTTTGCTAAAACACAACACTGTGCTCCCGTTGCTCTGGGAGCTCAGTAGTCTTTTAGCAAATCCCTCACTTGTCCTCCGCTCGATCGCAACCATCTTTTGCAAGTCTTCCGACCTTTTCCAGCGAGATAGGCTACTTCTACAAACCGGTGGAGACGGACTACATCTGCAGCAAGAACAACAATTCAGGGATGCACTTTTGCACCGACCTTCCGCCCTTCAAAAACGGAACCAACCCGCCCTGCAACCTCACGGTGGAGGAGAAGAACCTACCCCAGTATAGGGACAACGACACGTTCTGCATCGACTGGCATAAGTACTACACCTACTGTGAAGGTAACAACTCGAACCCGTTCCAGGATACCATTTCGTTCGACAACATCGGGTTGGCGTGGATAGCCATTTTTTTGGTAAGTTGGTGTCACTAGAGTGACTTTATAAATGTGACGACAATAGTGGTACACATTTTAATTGGTCAGACCTTCAATATGCTGGTACATCCTGCATCTGTTCTATTTCACTTTCTCAATGCTTCGTCTCTGTTTTTTGCTCTTTGAACACAAAACATCCAACAATCAGACATGAAACTCTATACGTCAGTACCTTGGATATTAACAATTAGCAAACCTCGCAAACATTATTTTGCTATATACAATATTTCTATAATAATTTTTTTCAGTTCAATAATCATCAAGACTATCATTATTTTATTTTCTACTTCTTTTTAGTTTCGGTATCTATAAAAGCGTGTTTCTTCAGTTCCTCAAACTAACATTTATTTCAACTTCTTTTTAGTTCACTTGAATTTTTCAATTTTGACGAAAGAATCATAATATCCGACTCCTAAAACCCCAGATGAAAATTTTGAATAGAATCGGAACATAATTACGAAACTCGTCCAAAATATTGGATCTACCATCTTGAATTCCCTGATTTTGACGAAGGAATCATAATTTTTGATCCCAAAAACGCCCACTTACAAATTTTGAATAGAATCGGTATATAATTACAAAACTCGTCCGGTATATTGTTTCCACCGTCTTGAATTCCCAAATACCGCCCTTTCCAAATTTTGACAAAAGAATCATAATCTCCGACCCCGAAAACACCCAGATAACAATTTTGAAGAGAGTCAGATCATAATTACAATACTTGTCCGCCATATTGGGTCTGCCAATTTCGTCCGAATTTTCGAATTTTGACAAAAGAATCATGATCTCTGACCCCGAAAACCTCCAGATACCGATTTTGAATAGAATCGGACCATAATTACAAAACTCGTCCGATATTAGATCCGCCATCTGGAATTTCCTAATGGTAACAGGATATAAAGTGTCCTGTAACCTTCTCCTGGTTCTAAGCTACCTCCCCACCAATTTTCAACCAAATCGATCCAGTATTTTCGGAGCCTATTCAATACTTACAAACAAACAAATAAAACAAACAAATCTCTCCTCTTTATATTATTAGTATAGATGATGTAGATAGTGTGATTCGCTTTTGTTTCCGACCTCTCGAGAACAAAGGTTTTGGCGATCTTCTGATAGACGGCAAAATTGCATAATTATGAAATCTGTCAATTTTGAAATCTTCACAGATTTTGCGAATTTCCCTTGAACTTTTACATGTTTCTCGTACTTAAAAGGCCATTTGCCATTTCATTTCCACTCGCCACACTCGTCACAGAAGCAATATTAGCATCACCATCTATCAGAAAAAAGCAGATTTAACGTCCCGCTCGATATGACGTAGAGAAATCATAGTAAGCGGTCGAGTGAGTCTACTTGAGTTCCCAATACGTAAAAATGGCCGAGCCACCTACTCATTTCCATCATTAAATTAACTATTAGAATACGCCTTTTTGGACTCGTAAGTCTCGGATTATTCAGATGATGAGATGAAAATATCAAATATCTAAACCTAACGTTAGGTGGGCACTTCGAGGGCGCAAATTCATTAGTGGGAGATACCCTTGAGATTTTTTGCTATTCAAAGACTTGACCACGAATGACATTCCGGAAATTGCAGCCATTTGAAGGTCTATTGTCGTCACTCTATTCGATCTACTCACTTTAGGTGTTACTGGTCCCATCCCAACACTTTCAGTAGGAATTCCGTCACTTCAGGGTATCCCTACCCCCATATAGCACTCGACGTCTTGGGGACGTCCATTTCAGGCCCGATATAGGTCCAGGACCATTTCAAGACGTGCTGAAAACATCTGTGTAGGAATTCTCTTAGGGAAGTATGTGAAGGGTCAAAAGACATTCGCACATAATCTCTCTCTGTATACTGTGTTATCAATAAGTGTTTTTTATAGTAATAGGTGAAGCATCTGCCCGATAATCTGAAGATCGCGGGATCTATCCCCGGTAGGAGCGCTTTTCATTTTTTATTCAGAATGAGATTTTTTCTACTCTGTCTAGATCTCTTTTTTACCTATCTGAGTAAAAAAGACGGATTCACGTTGATTACGGTATCTATGGTCCTGAATGGACGTAAGAGGATGTACAAATGGAATCTGGACGTCCCCAGTACGTACCTGTACGTCTACGGTCCGTATCTGGACGTCCCCAGCACGTACGAAACGTCTTGGCCGGACGTTCTCAGTACGTTTTGGGTACTTCTCCACTTTCGTCCAAAACCATGTGACTCAGTATTACGAAAACGTATCGAAAACATCACACGAACATGTTCTTACGGTTACAGAGTCAAAATATTTATACTTACATTTGCCATGGATTTCCATCAAGTAACGGCGAGTCAATTCATCATAATATCTTGTTTCGGGTTCCTTTATTCCTGAATTAATCAATTACTCTCACTGTTAGCCGTCATCTCAGTTTAGAACCTTGTCACATGCACATTTTCACGAGGCAATTGTATTTTTCCACCTCACGCCAATAGCTGGTAACTATATAAAAAAAAAAACAAGTTCTTGTTTTCCTTATTTTCCCGTGTGAAACTTGAATTTTCAAATACATGATCATAACTTGTTATCTTTTTCTAGGTGATATCTCTAGAAGGTTGGACTGAAATCATGTATTATGTTCAAGATGGTCACAGCTTTTGGGACTGGATCTACTTTGTTCTTCTTATAGTGGTGAGTACCAACAACAGTTCAGCTGAAAGTACTGAGATTTTATATTCAGTGTGTGCTATTTCAACTCTCAAAACCCTTCTCATTTGGAACCCGTTAAAAAAATTTCTCAATGGAGTAGGGGTACTTACTCCATTGAAAAAATTTTTCTGAAATATACAGATTCCCAAGATTATGCATGCCTTAGTTATCATTTAATTCATTATTTTCATACAGCCTGTGTTTTCTACGATTTATTGTTCATCTTGATCCTCTATGACATGTAATGTGCAATCTATACGTTGCCCTGGTGAAAAAGGCGATGATGGTTCGTTTATTTCTAGAATATATTGATTTGTTTTTCGGGCATCTTCACCTCACATCTCTTCACTAGTCATTTCAAATGAATCTTCTTTCCTAGGACGTTTATGATGATACCAGTTCAAAAATATCCAAACTAAAATAAGTGGAATGAAAATTGCAAATGTTGTACACATAGCCCAGAAATATTGCTAAATTTGGCCTACCATTGTGTGGGGGTTTGTTGTTGAGTGGGCAACGGGACTATTTCTCCGACTACTTCTTGGGAATCTTGGGGTGCAACGGGAATATTGCTGCAGAGTCACCAGTCCAATGGATCCGTAAATCGCTCTTCCAAATCCGGCTCGAAGGACCAAAATGTGGGGGGTTTGTTGTTGAGTGGGGTTTTCTTTGAGTAATGGACTGTATTTTTATGTTATTTTATTGAACTGGTCACATACATATTAGATATGATGAGAAAAACTCAGCGAGATTATCTGACAGACAATGTCATAATTGATTTATTGATTCTCTCAAAACAAACTATTGAAACCAAAACTAGGTAACAGACAGAGTAATCGCATCTAGATCACTGCTGATACTGATGCCAAATCAACTAAAGAGTGATAACATTTATGGAATTCGAACACATTGAATAAAACATATGCTAAACCTACAGATGAAATGATGTTCCATAAAAATAACAAGAAGTTGCTATGAGTTTTGTAATTGAAGACCTTAGAGCAATACAATGGTAAGCCAAACTTTGGCAGAAACTTGTTTTATTGCATAAATCACTCAGCGAAAACTATGTTAAGCCACAAAAAAATTAATTCGACTGTAAGGCAATAGATGGCGGAGCGATCGCTGCATCGTGTTATTGCAGGCAGCCAAATTTCGTCATTTTGTCGCGTGAAACGTGGTAAGCCATATCACAATGGCGTCGACCTCCGGTACACGTGCTCATTTGAGGGCCGTTTTTAGTGGAAATAGCGGTTCAAGTTCTGATTTTTTTGAGGATAGTGATGACAGTTGTGCCGACAAAGACTTTGTACCAAGTAGCGATGATATATCGTCGGATTTTACAGAGGTAGGCTACATTTTCTTTTTTTTTTGGCTTACCATGTTCTTATGTAAAAATATTTTGTAACTAATTTATGCAAGAACATGGTATGCCATGTGACTTAACATGTTACTGCGTAAACTTTTTTTTATTTTTTTTTTATTTTGCATTTTAAGTCTTATTTTATTATGTTTTAGGATGAATCGCCAGAGCATGCATTTTATACGCAACTAAATGTTGCTGTTGACAATTTAGACGAAGAGATTGAAATCCTTGATGAGTAGTATTGTATTTTTTCAGTTATTTCATTTCATTTCATTTCATTTATTGCCAGAAAAAAGAAAAATTGTACATTACATTACATATTAAGTGGGTCAATACAGTAGATATTACATATTCATAGTAACTGCAATACATGGGATAAATACACTAATACCTACGCCGTTGTCCTTGATATTACTACTTGATAGTTTACAAGATATGGTAATCTGTGAGTAAGCTTACCAAGTATATTATATCAATGCGGAGAACTGTGCTATCTTATTTGAATCATATTATGTTTATTTTCATTCCATATATCTACTTATACTATATAAATCAATTGTTTTTAACAATAAATACATTTACTTTATTTTTATGATGAGTTTAGTTCAAGCAAGAACATGTTAAGCCACATTTTTTTCAAAATAAACTCCATTTTTTGTAAAAAAAAATGTTTTTTTTGTGAATAAGAGTTGCTCTTCTTTCTCCCTCTTTGACATGATGTACTGACAAAGTTTGAAATCTTTCAATCAAAACCATTTTTTTACAGAATTTTTGAAAACTTTAAACCGTAATATCTCAACTTTTTGATTTTGAGGCTTACCATTGTATTGCTCTAAGGTCTTCAATTATCAAAATATGACACAATAGCATCTTCTTCAAAATTTTCAAGAATTTATTTCACAGTGTCAATAATTGAGCTCAGATTCAAAGTTGGTACTGGGAGAGTTCAATTTTGATTCAAATATTCTGAATTTTTTTTTTGAATTATGGATGATTTGCTTGGATTTTTGGGTCCGATATAAATTATATCAAATAAGACCATGCCGCTTGGATTATATGTATTAATGAGGCTCAGTATCGGGATATGGAAATCTTTTTGGGGTGATTTTTTCATTTTCAATTATGAATTCACAGTTACATAGCGGTTCGATTTTCACAGCTCCCTGAGCTTCGTAAGTTTCTTCTGGAAATATAATTGTTTGTCCTCTACAACTGATTTGTCATATATTTTTTCGGATGTGTTAAATAAATAAATAATAAATAAAATAATTTTCCAGCACACCCTGGTCCATTTTCATTATCTGCCGAAAATCTGGGTAAATAGCAAAGTTAATCATGATAGGGCCTACTATGGTGTGAGCCTGTACCTGATATGTGTCGAATTTGACTCTCTTTTGTTAGAAAATGTTCAGAAACTGCTGAAAATCTCGAGTTTGGTATACAACGTCCTGATTCTCATTAAAATTGAATTTCTTTACATCATTAATCGCTACTGGTTCATCCTAATCAATTTATTTTTTCCGAAAGTTGGGTAGTTCATCAGGAATCAATTCGTCTCGATTGAGTGTGCTTCTAATTTCTGAAGTGAATAAGCTTTAACCTTCCAATAGAGCAATGTCTGCTGACGTCACAACATGGCGCACTCGTCGTTTTCATCAACTGATCGGGGGACAAACAAAGCTGTGTGTGAATTTTGATTTCATTATTTCTGACCCATTGGTGATTTTGTTGAACTTGTAGATATTATTCAAGAAGAATGTGTACATTTTTTCCAAAATGAGTATCTATTGAGGCATATTACGAGGTATATTAGGTATATATATTAGAGCTGAGCTCAAGTAAATCCAGTAATTAAAAATTGACAAATTAACCAATTTGAACTCTTCTTTGGACTCATTTACTTCTCTCGCAGGATTCATGATGAATGAATCAACAAACATGTCAATGAATAAATGCTCCAGGTATTGTATTTTAGTGGTAAATGTAAAATATGCAAGTTAGTTACATGTACCCTTATGAGAAATGTGTATGCTTGTCCCCCCCATCAGCTGTGCAATTGCCGACATATGACGTCACTGACAATGCTCAATTACGAACGCACCGAAATCTCAACCTACTACTGTGACGTCAGCATCGAGGTACAAGGGATAGACTACAGCCCGGTGAGGTAGAGTAGGCCCTGATACATCCCCCATCATGTTCCAGATCGGCTCCTTCTTCATGATCAACCTCTGCCTGGTGGTCATAGCCACCCAGTTTTCGGAGACGAAGAAGCGCGAGATGGAGCGCATGCGTCTGGAGCGGGCCCGCTTCCAGAGCACCAGCACTCTTGCCTCTTCGACCAATAACAGCGAGCCGACCAGCTGTTACGCGGAGATCGTCAAGTACGTGGCCCACCTGTGGCGCAGATCGAAGAGGAGGTTAGTAGCAGCCTTGTTCTTGTCATTACTATTCTTCTTATCATTACTATTGTGATAGATCTATTATTCAGGAGCGGTGAAAGAACTTACAGTCACAACTCCACCACATAAACAATTTGATAATGACCAACAGTCATGGATATAAGTGGGGACATGTTTCGAAGGATTAATCCTTCATCATCAGCAAATGTATCGAAAGAAAATCTGTAAGAAGAAACGATGCTTATGTTAGTTTTAAGTATCGATTAAGAAATCTAAATGTACCAACCATTATTGGTGGACAAAGATCACTTATTTGAAAAAAACATAAAAAAACTAATTTTGCGGGCGCGGGTGAGTAAATGTTCCGGAATTCCGACTTGTAACTCGGAATTCCCACTTGTTACTCGGAATTCCGAGTTGTTACTCAGAATTTCGTGTTACAACTCGGAATTCTGAGTTAGAAAGTCGGAATCCCGAGTTACATGTCGGAATTACGAGTTGCAAGTCGGAATTCCCAGTTACAAGTTGGAATTGAAATGAAAATTAGTTGATGGCCTCACTACGCCTCTATTAATCAAATATAAAACTACATACAGAATTCACAAAACCATGCTGATCGGTACACTTGATAAAATATCAACAAATTCAAGAAGGAGCCATATGATTGCACATTCATCATCGTTACAATTAATTATAGTAGATAGTGGTTCCATCATCAGCACTTCAACATTTGCACCAATAGTTCATTTTTGTAGAAACTTCACTTCTGCTGAAATATCTACAAGTCGGAATTCCTAGTTGCAACTCGAAATTCCGAGTTACAAGTCGGAATTTCGAGTTGGAACTAGGAATTCCGAGTTACAACTCGTAATTCCGAGTTACAAGTCAGAATTCCGAATTACAAGTCGGAATCCTGAATTACGAGTCGGAATTCCGAGTTACAAGTCGGAATTCCGAGTTACAACTCGGAATTGAAATAAAACTAAGTTGATGGCCTTCCTACGCCTTCGTAACTATTCGAAGTTGGATCCAAAATGTGATGTTTCATGACTAAAATATCTGGTTCCGTGCCCAGCGAGATGATTATCTTCTGCTCTATGAGCCTATGCTCTACATTTATGTCATTGGTTCGGCGATTTTTGCCTCATCCTCGTCAAAAATGGTGCGAAAATTTCAAATGTCAAATGTCATGCTTTTTCAAAACTACTATTTATCAGAAAGCCATATACGTATCAATAAACAATACGGATCATAAATGGGTGCCAGGATGAAGCCAAAAATATGAAACAAATGAATATCCATAAGGATTTGGTGGCATGATACGCATGCGCCATGCGCTATTATAGTAGTCATCAAAGACATGCGTTTCTGTGGACAATGACGTTTACTAGCCTTTCAATCAAAGCATTATGTGTCCGATCGTTTCAAAACTTTTCCTTATGGATAGTCATTTGTCTTCAAAAATCGGCTTCATGTTTCGCTATGGAAACAGATAGAGATTATCCGTATTGATTATTGATACGTATATGCAGAAAGCTTGTTCGCCATATTGGATCCGCCATCTTGAAATCCCCAATTTTTTTTTATTCGTCTATACGAATTATTGCATAGATTTTGGGAGGATGTAATCTTATGTTCTGCGTGGCATAAACCCAGGAAAGTAGTTGTTTTTCTCTCGTTATCTACCATTTTCGTTCATTTTATGAAATATTGTGGTAATGTCTTTGAGTTTCTCTCTTTTGTGACCGATGCATTCCACTTTGAGTATTTGGCTTTTTCCTAGTTGATAATATGATATCCTCTCGATATTGAATCATCCTTCTTCCTGTCATAGAAAAAATAGGAGAATTATGCACGGGAAACATATTAGATTTTAAGCTCACGGTTTTTTGTCTCCCATGGCTACGCATCGGGAGACAACACAACCTCGAGCTGAAATCTACTATTTTTCCCCCTTCTATAATGAATAACTGTAATGAATATCACAATTATATCAAGGAAGGTGATCTTCTTATAAAAATATTTTATTAATTATTATCTCAAAGTTTTTTTTTGTCAAGGAAAAACCTCAGAACAAAATATATATACAAGATGTTATTACAGAAATATCACAATTATATTGAGGAAGGTGAACGTACTATAACAATATTTTATTAATTATTATCTCGAAGTAGTTTGTCGTCGAGGAAAAACCTCAAAATAAAATATATATATATATACAAGATGTTATCACAATAACTATTTCCTTTTTTATACACACACTGGCACAATTAGGGGAACGGGTAAAATTTTGTTTAAGTTTGACATCAATTTTCTCTCGAACCGATCACTCGATTCAAATTTGTTTCCCATGAATTGTAGCTTCATTCTTCACGAATACATCTGAGAAATAACCGACTCCAAACGATTCGTCTTTATATCATATACAGGGGTGTGAAGAAAGTACGGATTTTTCGGTATTCGTTAAGACATCCTGTGGAGTGAACCACTGATAATTGAAACGATTTTCCAACACCAAATTATGGCCCAATATATCCCGAATATTTTCGTTTTTTATTCATCTTGATATCCTAATTATCCAAGAAAATATAGAGTTTCAAAGAAGAGGTGGATATTGGTATTAATTTTACCACCTCGAAACTCGAACTGGGAAGAACGTGTCGTTTTTCAACTTGTTTCTGTGAGGATTTTCACTTCAAGATGAGAATTGTTCACAGCTTCACCAATCGGTTTACTGTTTGAAGACACATATACGAATACTCTCATGAATATGCAGGGGTGATGAAAGTTGCTCCAATATTCTTTTGGTGAAATGCTATCTTTGTTAATCAACGTTGGCTATTTTGTTAATGTCATCAATTATTGTCAAAGTCAAGCGATTCACAAGTCATAAATTTGATTAATGAAAATTCAACGTGAGAGATTTGACTCCTACTGATGTGGCGAGGGCTGTAGCATTAATTGAAAATGACCAGTGGGCCAATGTTCTTTCAACATATGAGAGCCGCATCTGCACCAATTCAATAGATGGCAGGGAAAAACTATATCGCCGAGGTGAACAAAATGAACAATTTGATTTTACTGCTTCTGTCTCCTATGGCAGAGGTTCAGTCATGGTTAGGTTAGGTTAGTCAAGAAACCACACATCTTCAGATCCAATTCGAGTTTTGAGGTGTAAAATTGATACCAATATCCACCTTGCCTTTGAAACTCTGTATTTTCTTGAATAATTGAGATATCGAGATGAATAAAAAACGAAAATATTCGGAATAGATTGGGCTCCAATTTAGTGTTGAGAAATCGTTTCAATTATCAGTGGTTCAGTCCACAGGATGTCTAAAAAAATACCGAAAAATCCATACTTTCTTTACACCCTTGTATATGATGGAAAGACTCATCGTTTGAAGGTAATTATTTCTCAGATGTATTCGTGAAGAATGGAGCTACATTTCGTAAAGGAAAAAATTTGAATCGAGCGATCGGTTCGAAAGAAATTTTATGTCAAACTTAGTGTAAATTTTGCCCGTTCCCCTAATTGTGCCAGTGTGTGTATAATATACTTCAGGTTGCTGAAGAGGGTGCGGCTGTACAGGATGCGCAGAGACAGGCGCAGAGACGCGAAAATGTGCGCTGGGGAGACTATCGTGCTGAGCTGTGGTGGACGGCACCATCCGAACTGCCCCAAGGTCAAACAAAATGTGAGTCCAGTAAAACATTTCACGTACTCTGTAATATTTTATGTATATGAAGAAATGCCAAATGTTATAGAGTACACATACGTATAATCCTATAACCATATTTCGAACGTTCTCGTTGACAATGGGAAAGTTTTCATCTCACTGTGAAGTTTGTGAAAAGGCAATATATTACATGTATCTCCTTTTTTTTTTGGAAGATCGCATTTCACTTCAGAAAAAAATTAATGAAAGAGGAACTTGGCTCCTCCGCCATTCCTATGATGTACTTTCTGAAAAGCCATATCCACACAGAGTTGAAATACAATTTCTAGATATTCTCATTTGGATACAATATCACCATATTATATTAGTGATGAGACTTTATATGTTTTTTATTACTAATTTGTCAGGTATCATGAATAATTTTCATAAATCTCTTATTTGCTGGATGAAGTTGACTACTAATGAAGATAAATCATGATATTATGCAATAGAAATTATAATTCCTTACTTTCGTCATGATATCAGGAATTGGTAAACATATCTCATTGTCAGTAATTTTTGTCATTTTCTCAAATGGATTCGTTTCTTTATAAAACGGATATATTTTCTAGCAAAGTACTGACCAAGAACTGATCTGATTTTGTGGTTATATATGTTTTTGTTCACCAGTTTCACTTGTGTTGATTTTTTATATCTAGTTATCCGTTAGCTTATGTCTACAGTTTATATAGTTGTTCAGTTTGTTAGGTTACCGCTATTTCTTTTTTCTTTTATTCTATGGCCATTCGCTAGGTATATTCGGAACAGATCAGTAGTTTGAATTGAAAAAAAGTGTATTATTCAAAAATGTTCGATGTCAGGCAGTATTATTATATAATAATTATATAAAATAATAATAATTCTATATGTTTCTGCATGTCACAAAGAAAAATAAAGTATTTTTATCATTATTATTATTTATATTAGGTATTAAACACAAAATATCAGAATTTCCTCAATTATTGTGAAAACTGGCGCCTTCATCATCTTGTAGAACATATAAACAACCAATGAGAATGTGAATTTGTTCTGCTACATCTATTCAAATAGAGTCAGAAAAAAATAAAAAAGAAATCGCGAATATTTGTTTTCTTCCAGAAATCATCCCAATCATCATACAGCCATTGACCTCACGAGAGGTCCTTCAGCCTATGTGTGTTTTGTGCAGGCTGTGTTACTAACTCCATATGCCACCTTGAGAGCAGTACTATTAATTGAAACGCAACAGCGCATCGTGCGAAATCATCTCCGGCCGAGTCTACGAAAATTAGAATTCATAACTCGTTTCATCTGCCGGAGATCGAACCTAGCAACCTTCTGGTGTTCTGATTGCTATAAATTTGCCCAAATATAGTGTCATATGTTGAATTTCTTCTCGCTATACTCAGAAAGATGAATAATAGTGCTTTACGCCCTTCTCTGATATATGTTTCCCTTTCGTTCTGCGTGTAACGAAGTGACCGCTTAGTGTTTTGAAGGGGTTTCTGAGGAGCGTCTCAATAGCTTTGTTGGTTAGGAAATAAATGAAGAGGGATGAACACGATATTGAACCAAGTGGATCATTGGAGGCTTGACGAGTCGACCCTTAAATAGACACTACCTTCCACCCTATTCATTATTCACCCACGCTAGTTTTGACTGACGCCTCGATAAAATAATATCGAATTTTATGCATAAATCTCTGCTTTCGTTGTCGACCTTGAAATATGAACTGTATAATGAATATCAATTTAGCATACATCTAAAAACAAATGCACCCAGATGGCAGGAGTATGTCAACAAATCAAAATTCTCAGATGTCAGTTCGTTATAGTTTTAGTTATATTATAGGGAAATGAAAATTGTGTATGCGCGATAGAAAATAACACGTTAACCCACCTGACGGCAGCAACATGAACACCTCTGAGCGGTTTGTTTTGATGATATGACCAATATAAGCACAAACAAAAAACAAATGCGAGCCAATGAGAACGAAGTAAACATGCCGCTTTTACAGCTTTCAAGAACTCTGATAGGTGGCGTACGCTTATTTTCTATCGCGAATGGGATGGAGAATGGCTGAAAGAATAACTGGACCTCAGGTTACTGATGAGGATATGATATCCGAAATGAGTTTTATTCGAGTGGAGTCATATAACCTGTTTGTGAGATATATAATTCCCATATCACTGATACAAATGATTGTTTTGGAAGTTCCAATCTCATCAAGATCAGAGTTTATACAAGTATAATTCCCCTATACATTTCAATTTCCATTTCAATACTGAACATGTTGGTAAGTTATATATTTTTTATATCATAATACATTATATCATTTTATCCGATTTGAAAGATAATGTCAATTCTCACTTTCTGAGGATTTTCAATTTTCATGATCTCTTTTTGGATGTTATATATAATGGATATAATTCAATGTTCGACGTGGCAAATAATTCTCTGCTTTGCTTGAAATCAAACCTAGCAACCTTTCGGCGTTCTAATTGCTAGTCGAGCACTGAACCATCGCGCTACTCTGCCGTATTGCAATCAAATATTATCAAAGTCATCGAATTCGGAAATAAAGCAAATAGGCAAGTCGTCTGACCCATGAAATAGGTATGACAAAGATTTGGTAGTCAATCGGAGAATCAGATGTTTCAACCTGTTCATCATTCGTTTATATCTGTTATGATGATGATGATTATTGATGAGATAGTCCTATTTGAAAGTTAACCGCAAATAAATTCCGAACACACATTTCATTTCAATAAAAGTGTAGTATCTCAGTTGGAATATAAGTTGGATTTGTAACCAAGTGATAGTGGAGGACCGCGGTTCGAATTTCGTGACGGTCATCATTTTTTTTAATTGAATGTATCGGCAGACATGAACCCGCCCTGATGACGGCCAGAGTCTCATTGACACTGGCCCATCAATGTTCACAGTAATTTATTCGTTCCGGCCAATTCTGGCCAGCATAATGCCGACCAAAATCGTTTGCTAGCAATGTGTTCAATGAGTGATGATGTTTCCTTAAGAGAGCTGGCTAACACCTTGTTCAGGTATACCGTCCATCAGCTCTCTTTCAGAGATTTTCAGTTGTGTTTTGAAGGCTAGTAATATACTCACTACCAAATGCTGCAGTAGCAGGCCTGCCAGCTACCTCTTCAACCCCCGTTAGAGAAGGCCTACTAAGCAGCACTGGCCTCCTCTCACACTCAGCTGGTAGTTTTCTACACCAACCAATATACACCGTCCAACTTCTTCTCTGATGCACACAACCACATCATCATCATTCTTTCCTGTGTGTTCTGTGTAGGCTTTGTTACTAACTCCATGCTCCACTTTAGAAGCAATACTGTTAGATGGAACGCAACAGTGAATCGTGCAGGACTATCCCTAGCCGATGCTCTGAAACTTCACACTATGTAATTTGTAAATTAAAAATTGAGAAAGTGTCTTGCCCGTACTGAGATTCGAACGACGAGTCAGAACTTTTAGTATGGTTTTTTGTGTTTGTTGATTGAACTATTAGGTAGCAAAGTGTTTTAGTTTCATCTCTGAAAGCTTCAAATTCTGAGTTGTTTTCACCTTGTTTGATCACAAGGACATCCAAGAACGTTAATTGATCAATATTTCCGCATTCGAAAGCTCTCAACATTTTTCATTATCCAAGGAATCGACGCTGCAATTTAATTAGTCATTATTGTAGGTAGGTACCTACGCTAATTACCTTTTGCTTTCTTTCACAACTAACTGTGATAAATATATCAGTTGATGAAAGAAATTCCGCAGAGCCAGGGTAACTCATTGCACTACGCAATTTCAGACTTCAAATTAATTTTCCGTAACTAGAGCTGCGTATATATCCCTTCTGAGGAAAGCATCAAATTCGATTTCATAATACGGGGATTGAGTATATTTAAATTAGTTAGTTGAAGTCAATGTTATAATTAGGTTCGAGCTAATCGAATACTCAGGAATTTTCATAATCCTGTGAAAGGCCTTTTCTGTTAAGTCATGAGATTCTCCATAGTAGGTGTACATCTTTTTTTATTTGATTCAATAAATTGGTGGGTGAAAAGCGTGTTCGCCATTTCTTCAATTCAGTTCAAACAATATCGATATTTCACATCCTGTATAAGGAAGGTAAGAAATTCCAAAACCATTTCGAAATATTGACCTGAAGATTTGAGAATGATTTGCAGAAGGATGAAAAAATTCCTGTGAAATACAGGGGCTCATAAACTTTCGATTATGTAACACTATATTTGACCTCTTGGTATGTCATAACTGCAAAACTCTGAAAAATCCCTTCATGAATTCAACATTGATCAAGACATCAATTATTTCACCAAAACTCCTCGGTCTCTAAAATCTTCATAATATTCCTAGACAGACATTTGAAAGTTAAAGTAAATGTTATAATCAGATTCGAGCTGATCGAATACTCAGAAATTTTCAAAATCCTGTGGAAAGCATAATACCAGCCTCATCTGTCAAGGCAGAAGATTCTGTATAGTAAGTGTACGTACTTTTTCATTTGATTCAATAAATTGGTGGATCAAAAAGAACGTACTCGCCGTTTCTTCAATTCAGCTCAAACGATATCGATATTTCACATCCTGTATTAGGAAGATAAGAGATTCGAGATATTGACCTGAAGATTTGAAAAGGATAATTTGCAGGGACTCATAAACTTTCGATTTTGTAACACTATATTTGACCTCTTAGTATGTCATAACTGCAAAACTTTGAAAAATCCCTTCATGAGTTCAACATTGATTAGGACATCAATTATTCCACCAAAACTTCTAGGTCTCGAAAATCTTCATAATATTCCTAGACCTAGACATTTTGAAGTTAAAGTCAATGTTATAATCCGATTCGAGCTGATTAAATACTAAGGAATTTTTATAATCCTGTGAAAAGCATATCACTAGCCTTTTCTGTCAATGCAGAAGATTCTGTATAGTAAGTGCACGTACTTTTTCATTTGA